TACAATTCAGACCTAATCTGTTCTTTCCCCACTCTGGTATTCAACAGTAAACTCTGTTTCTTCTTACAGATTCTATTCACAATAATAAACAATTTAAGACACGGCCAACCAAACCACCTTTTTGTTGGGGTTTAATATTCTCTGCTTTGCTAAAGTGCAAAGAGACAGAGGATGAAAGCATCTATTTAAAGCCCTTACAACAGTGGACAAAGACAGTGGCATGCCAACTGCATTGTCAAAATATTTCCTTCACCTCCTCATGCCAAAACAACCCCAGGAACACTGACACTGACATCCAGCTCTGAGTCACGCAATAATGTGAACAAGCTGTTGTCCTCATAGCTCTTCAAGGACTTTTGGTTTGAACTCAGTCACACTGAAAGCATGTCACCTTTTATGATTTGTTGTCTTTGGAAGACTGAGTTTTTCCTATCAAACTGTGGTGTTCCAGATGCATCAGCATTTTAACATACCTGCCTAGTTGTATTATTCAACACATGTAGGGTTGAAGTGGACCCTGAGGATGGTGTTTCCAATGATGAGAAGTCAATCTGAAAGGTCCTAAATAGCTCCCATCAACAAACAGCAGTACGAATGTACACAGCTGAGCCTCCGGATGGCTTATAACCAGCATTTTTGAAATGTGGTAAATTCAAAAGTTTCAATTCTAAATTTGATATTTTACCATCATCACCTGTTATAAAACTGATGCAACGTCAAAGGCAGGGGGTGAACTGTGCATATAATGTCTAATCATTCATCTCAATATAACAGATCCTAACTTACCAGAATGAATACTTAGATGAGTAATCGAGGTACAACCAAAAAAGCTGGAAATATCGATGTAGTTTTACGTAAATATTAAAGTAGGACAAACCAATTAATCCATCAAAATCAGAAAAGAAAGAAACTTCAGGTTCCGCAATTCAGTGATTTTCAAAAATAGAACTTAATTGCATGAAATTGTGCTCTGATCCGTATGGTTCCATGGACAAATGTAATTACTGCCTCTTATAAACAAGTTAATTGATGTGAGAGAATATAGTTCAGAATACCTTATTTGTGAACATCTCTTCACAAAAAGTTCACAGTCTTGGGGTTGTTATACAATCTGCAGTAATCAATATAGTCCCACTGAAGCCAATAAAACAGTGCCACTGTATCAGCTGAGAATGTGGTTTTCCTTAAAATAAAGATGACCTTTGATCTGGATGTAATAAATTAGCCACTCAAACGCTCAAAAAATATTCTCATTAAGCACAAAGGCAAAAATATATGTTTTCTACATAAGGCACCCAAAAACCTCAGAGTAGTTCTAAAATCACAGTTCTATCCATGATTGCTCAGTCATTAGACAGGACTCTCTCAGGAAAGAAGCACTCAAAGTGGCAGCTCTTAAGTACATTGTCAGTAAAATTACAAATTCTAGCAAGCTTTTATTTTGCCATCAGATCCATCATTTAGGATGGCACAAGAAAGTGTGATCAACCATCCAGACATTTTTATTAAAAAAGTCACAGAAATGCCCTTATTTCTTTTGCCCTTGAACTGCAGGACTTGTTGAAAAACGTACAATTCTGAAGATGTTTTAACCTGCTTACTGCATATTTGACCTTGTCTCTGTCTATTTTTTAAACCCAAGAGACATCGGCCATCAGTCAGGCTCCCATCTGATGTCACCTTTTCTGCTGTATCATCCAAATTTGCAATCTTACCAAAAAAAAAAAAAAGTTATTTCAACAAGCAGCCTTCTCTACAATGCCATAGCTATTGCTATTAACTATAGAATTCATTAAATAAACCTCCTTAGGAAGAGAGCATCCAGGCTGCACTTTGACAGCCTCCGTCAGTCTCAGCAAGCACTGTTCCAGCAGAGGGAAGTCTTCCAGGTCATGCTTACATAGTACCCATAGCTGGATGAGCACTGCCAACTGACTGGGACTTGTATGGCTGTAACACCAACTGTCCTGGTTAAAAGCTGACCTCCTGGGTGTCTGAGGGTAGTACTGAATGAACTGCACTGATGGTTTCTTCAGAGAATGTCTGCTCTTCTTGGAGCAAACCCAGAGTGATGCTTGCAGTAAACCACACTGCAAAGCTGCCAGATTTGTCTCTTATATTAGTGAGAAAGGCAAGCTGAAGGTACAGGACACAGAAGTCACCTCTCTCAGTGGCTGCATGCAGCAGCAGCATTGCCTTCAGTATTGAAACAGGTACATTTTATTGAGGAAAGAGGCTGGAGACTGAGATGGAAGGATGTGAGGAATGGAATGTCAGTATGAGAAACAGTGAGACTTCGCTGTTCAAAGCAGTAGGATTAAACACAGTTTTAAATAGGGAGAGATATGCATAGAAATAGAAGTACAACAGTAAGCAATTACTGTTTGTCATCAAATGTAATTAATTAGTCACAATAATGGGAAGTCATAATGTTAGGTAAAACACCAATGTCATTGCTGTTTCAGTAATCCAAGCAATATGTTGCTTGTGTAGATACCTTTCTTCCACTGGCGTACCTATAAAATATATTCCCTTTATTTGCATTCATGCCAGCAGCAGCATTTTTACATCTTCTGCAGATGCATTACTTTGCATTCCTGCACTCTGGAATAATTTAGTCTGATTAGTGCCCATGATGGAATGGCAAAACCAGCACTAAGTCCCACACAGACCTCACTTGGTGCAAACAGAACCTCTCTCATCATATTGTCACTGACAGTGCTGCAGAAATAGCAGCACAGAATAGCTCAGCAGGGATGAAAACATTCACCTCTTTGTGTAAAAGCAATGTTTGCTAAAATGCAATCTAAGTAGCAGAAGACATGATTGGCAAGGCCAAAATAAAACATCCAAAATACAACAACCTGGCTAGATTGCACACACAGTAGATCAACATCTTTTTGCTGAAACACAGCGTTTCTATTTAAATTAATTACATTTTTCATAGCCTGGGAGCATTTTATTTTTGCAATTTAAATACCCATTTCATGAGCTTCCCTTACAAATTTTGTTTCAGATTGAAAATCTTTTACAATTTTTTACAATTTCTGTTTGTCAAAAACTAATTTTTAATCATCTTTAATATGATCCACTCAGTTTAAGTTTTTGCCACTTAAAAATGTTGACTTCCTCCGCTGTGTGAATTGCCCAAAAGTTACACCTCCATACAGATGAGGGGAGAAACCAAAATTTTCTGTTTAAAACTGGATTTGAACAGAGCACACACTTTTAAAAATGTATTTGACCTTGGTGGAATGCAATTTATACAAATCACGAATTGAGAACAATTTGTTGAGATTTTATGGAATTGCTTTCACATAATCATCAAATTAACAAACTATCTGTTATTTTTCTTTTCCTTTTAAGGCTTGATCCAGAATATGCTGATGTCATTAGAAAGGCACAGAGTCTCCTATGCTTTGCGTCAGGCTACATTTATTCAGCATTCAGAAGTGGATAAATAATTCACAAATATATACAGTGAATTATTCATTTGTTAAATTTTATGATTTTAAGCCTAAACTATTTGGGAAATAATATTGCCCATTATTCCTTCAGATCTAAATCATACTCACTCATAAACAAACAGAAGACTAAAGAAGCATTGGACAAAACTTTTGTTTCTTAGCTCAGGGTCGATGTGTTCTCATGCCTGGTAACATGAGGTATGGGAGAAGAACAGCACTGCTTGGGTTGGCACTGTATTTTACTGGCTGCCATGAAATACAGTCCAGTGGGGACTGCCCAGCAGCTTTCCTGTTCTTTCCCTATGAAAAGATCATCCCCACATTCTGCTGCCACACTACATCTTGTTGAAAAAGGAGTGAGCCCATTGTTGGCTTCTGTGCACTCCCACATGCAAACCCATCTACCTGCAGCTCTGCTGCATCCATCTGCACTGGACAGGATCAAGGGCTTTTGTTACTGAGAACAGCATCTATTTTGTGTGAAGCCTCACAGAAGCAAACTGACATTTGATATGATTTCTTACGGCTACTCCAATTCTCCCTCCTGTACATCCTGCCAAAATACTTGCAACCAATGCATTTGACTGAAACTTGGCATACCACTTCCATCAATTACTTTCAATTCACTGAACAGGTAGATTAGTCAGGGAAAAAGCACATGATATAAGGGCAAGAGAGTGAGCCACTCATGGGCACGTCCCTTTCCTCAGAATTAAGTAATTTGACTTTTCATTGCAAAAGGTTTAAGGAAAACAGAAGTTTAATACCAACGTTTAATTTGGTGCAGATACCACAATCAATACAGCACACGTGGAAGGCTCTCACAAAGGGAGGCATGCTCTGCAAAGCGAAACAATGAGCTTTTAATAAGTAGAAGAACATGCAGCCATGCTTTCCAGGTTGATAAAGGAGTTTGAGAATAAGTTTCAAGATTGCCAAAAATATCATCAATTTATGTCTGTGACACCATTTTCAGTTGATATAAATACATCAACTGCAAATTTTCAAATAAAATATACAGATCTGCAGTCAGGTATTTAGCACAACAATCTGATCACGTCTCTTTACCAGACTTTCACAACACTTCTCTTCCCACAGAGATATCCTTTGTTTCACAACCACACCTTATTATTTTGGCAGTACACACATTTGTGAACAATTGTCAAGGATGAAGTTCAGCAAGAGTGAAATTTGCTCCAAAATCTCTGAGGAACACCCTGAGCTCACTGGGAATGGCAGCCACTGCCACTGAACCAGTCTGATGTGTCAGGTCCACAAAACAAGATCACATTTACTTACCATCTTTTATCTGTTTTTCAGCGCTAAAATAGAAGGGTTACATCTTCCATCACATAAAGGATCTTGTAGTACACTTCCATGACATCAAGTAAACCGAATAGGTGTACAATTCCATTATGAAAAGGCCCCCCTGGCTAGTTTAAATCTCTACAAATCAAGATACCAGTCCCATTCTAATGCAGTAGAAAGGGAAATTTGGATGTGACTGCAATCATCTGACTATGGATGCCAGAACAGTTTTGTTATATAACGTGTGTGAGCACAGCTGCTTTCTTATCACAAGACCCAAAATGAATACATCACATACTGAAGGACAGAGTTACCTTCCCTTCTGCCTCCTAATAAATCCCCCTTTATGGGCTACTGCCTGTGAGTCATTCACAAAACAAGAAGGAAATTGTCTGCAGGACATAACACAAGGAAGTGGCACCAAACCTTCCCCACCTTCGTTCCTCACCCCTACATCACTTTCTAAATGCTGTTTTCCTGAGGCAGCAGGAAGGAGATCTGCTCTGTTCCTTGAGGCACTGACAGAATAACACAAACAGTTTTTACAGAAGGTAATAACAGCAGCCACCCAGCCGAGTGCCTGATGTGGGGAATCCTTGGGTGCCATTTCCAATGCAAGCGTGTACAGTGAGTTTTGCAGAAAATATGAGAAAGCTGTCTCTAACCCACTCAACCTGAGAGTATTACCGAGTGAGTTCTGCAACCTACTGCAGACATCCATGGTGACATTATGACCTACATGACATCAATTCACACCTCTCTCTGTCAGCAGAACTCAAACAGTACATTAAAATCTCACTTACTACGTACCCAAAGCATATGCATTTTGACTGCTGTCTACCTTCTAAGAGAAGCTGAATGTTAAATACCTCACCAGAAGAGCCCACATTTTAAGCAAAGTTTTCCAAACTTCTGACATCTGGTCAGTTCAACTTAGGTAGGCTTATGAAGTTTTCAGTTGAGAACCCTACTTTAGTATTTCGCTGATCATTATTATTGCAAAAAGGGAAAAATATTCCAGGATTTTATACATTGATATAAAAAATAGAGCTGAATAAACAAACATTTGAAGGAAGTTTTCCAATAATTCTAACAAACTTTTCTGCTTTCTCTGTGTAGTGTTCACCAATTGACATGATGGCCATCTTCCAGGTGGCAAGATCTTCAGTATTTTGGGGGTAAGCACAAAAGATCTCTGTGCCAAAAGCTAGAAGGGTTAGTGGAACATAAGTCCTTCAGCTCTGAGACATTCAGCAAACTGGAAAGAGGGAAGAAAATTGGCTGGCTGCAGCAGGAATCAGATGGTAGTACCCAACTGAAACAGATCCACTTGGCTAAGGCTGGACAACACATACTGACAGTTAGGAGAGAACAAGAAAGGCATTTTTCAAAGATATTCATTGCTTTCATAAACACAGAGGCTTCCTTCAGAGCTGGGGGATTGTGCAGGAGCAAAGGTGGGTCAGCAATGGGTGAAAGAAAGTGGGTTTGGGCAGGGATTTCATTTCCCTTCTCACACAAGGATATGAACTCTCCAAGTTATTCTTCTGAGAAGGTGACTTTCTGCTAAAATTATACACCATATAGACTGATTCTCCACTGTGATTCTACCATAAAATACAAAGACCAAAGCAGATTTACACAAGCTGGAAACAAGGCTGCTTCCCTTCTGCAGGTGCAATAGTATCCATGTATCTAAACCATTCTCTCCAATCTGCTACCAACAAAAGGATTATTCACAGTTCAAGTCTTTGATTTTAACTTGTCCAGAACAATTTCTCTTCTGTGTTCCATAAAAGTGAGAATAGCAGCTATACTAGGTACACAAACCTGTGATGAAAAAGTCTCCAGAATGGATTTTGCTGTGCTGAATGTTGCCCTCTGGCCTGGTTTCTGGCAAGTGGTAATAATGGAACCTGACTCTCAACTATTCTGACCCCTGGCTATTGTCAAACGCTTTCCCAAATCATCCACAAGATGCTGAACGAACTCGGATTGACTTATTTTTGTTATGCAACCGTGTGAAGAATACAACACAGTATCATAGTCTGGATGGCCCAGAATAGCTCTGTGCAGAAATGACTCAGTATCCAGGGAAAACTTTCAAGTGTGCAAAAAACATGACATATTCCTGGAAAGCAACTGTTAAAGTCTGACTAATGCATTCCCCCCTTTTCTACCCCTTTTTAAAAGTCTGTCTGTCTGCATTTTTCAATGCCCAGGAACATTATGTGTGAGGTAGAGACACAAAGGGAGTCTGAGCCAGCTAGACAACATTCTCTATGGGCAATTTTGAGAACATTTTAGACATTTTGCTTTTACCCATGCAAACCGTGTGCCACAGCACCTATCAGGTGTCTGGGAAAGACTGAATTTTGGCCACGAAGTGAGCTGGCTTTGCAAGCAGGTTGGATGAGCTGTGCTGCTGACAGGCTTTGAGTCCCAAGCACGTCTTGGGAATTGCCCAAAGTACTAAGAGCAACTCAAGGGACTTCAGGAATTATATTCCCTTTCTTCCTCTCCTTCCGCTCCAGGTGGAAAGTCTACTGATGATGTATTTGTAATGAAGTAACTAGGTGAAAGGGGACAGTAAGTATATATAAATACTAAGAAATTGCCTTACTGAAGTAAGTGTTAAAAAAACCAGCATTTCCCCACCATTTTAAAAACAGGAGTTAAGTAACCAAAAGAGTAAAAATACGTCATTTCTATCCAGAACTCACTTAGAATTAGTTCCTAAGAAGCTTCCATTTGTGAGTGTAACAGGGAAAGCTCAGGGAAAGCATGCTGACATTACATACTCCTTGCTTTCTTTCAGGATATCTCTCAATATTGCTTCGTGCAACAGTTCATCAATCCCCATACTACAGGTAGAGACAAAGGAATCCCACAGAACTCATCTAAGAAACTTCAATGGCTGCAAAGCCTAAAATAGTATCACTGGAGGATACTATGGATCACAGAAACCTCATAGAAGGTGTGCAAAATCATTAGTTCAAAATGGAACCTTACCTTGTAGCAACGAGGTCAGTGGACTGAGAACTGAGGCACTCCTGTCTGTTTGCCATGGAGACAGCATTGGACAGTTGTTGTTTTTTTTTCTTTTTTTTTCTCAGTTGTAATTATCTCTGAAATAATTAAACAAGATCAATATCACAGAGAGGCAGTGAGAATTACTGGGATCTGTAGTGTGTTTTGAAACACTAAAAAAAAAAAGCACTTATCTAGTCCTGACTACAAATATCCACCACGACAACATCACCATATATTACTAATGCACAGAGGCATAGATTACTGAAGACAACAGGTAGTATGATAGATGAGCATGACATAACTACTTGAGCTAGCAAGAGAAACACTTTTTCTCATGGACAGAGCCCACAGCATGTTTGCATGGAGTAGTTTGTTTTCTCCAGAGCAACGATGACATTTAGATCATCTTCTGTGCTATAAATGGAATACTGTGATCTGCTGAACATTTGCTACCTAGAAGACCATTTCCTGGTGCCTGAGTCATTAACTTTCTTGGATGACATTGCCACATCTGTAATGAAAAGATGTAATGCGCTGCTAATTTATGAGGCTACTCCAGTGCTGATATTTTAAACTACTCGGGTGTGAATAGCAAATGCTGGCTGGTATTTGAAATCTCTTTGGCAATATTAGCTCACTGTGGATGGTATTTGAAATCATTTTGGCATTCTGGGGCATCAGAAGCAGATAGAACAGTAGTGGCCAATGCAGGCACTGAAATATTTCCCAAGGATAAGGCTTTATTTCCGCTGATAGGAGAGGAGTGCATGTGAAGAAGAATTTAACAGGGCTGCTGGTTCTTCGATCAGTTCTTTGAAGAAAATACATTCAGCAGTGTTCCTGGAGAAAATGAAACCACTGACTTTGGATTCATCCTCTAACAAAAGATGGGGAGGAGGCAAAACTCACTTCTGTGAGAAAGGCAGAGCTGAAAGGTAAAAGGTGGTTCTCACTTTACAGAGTAGAAAATGTACAGCCATTTTCTGTAGGTCCTATTGTAAGCCTTCAGGGGACAGTTATTGCCATCTAGTGCGAGCTTAAGTATAATATAAACCAGAAAACTGTACCCAGTCAATGTGCTTTGAGCCCAATAACCTCCACTCAATGTAGGTCAGCGCCTTTAAAACATCTGCGGGCTTGGTTCTAGAAATACCTAACAGGTACAGTTCCTCTGATCACTATGGCATGTTACTAGATCATTTGAGCATCCAAACAGTTGCCACAATTCTAATTTCACCACTTACCTTCTTGATGCTCATTGATTGTCTTGTGGTGACAGAGAAAGGCTAATAAACTATTAACATTTAAACACGACACGTGTGAGGCTGTCAAACTCTCAAGGAGAGCTCTGTCTCAAGGAAATGTCTGTAACTTCATGTCGACTGTGTTTGCTGACAATCAATAAACATGAGGACAAGAAATCAAAAAGTCTCTTGGTAACACCAGCTCACTCCTTTGGCTGGCAGGAAGAACAGTCCTCTCCTCACTAATCCCAATTCCCTTCTTTCAAAATACATCATGTAAATGAGTTTGGCTGCAGATAATGATGTTTCCATTATTAGTAACACCCTGAATAGCTTCAGATCCTGGTAGGGAATTTAACTCGTTTGGACTTGGCTTGGCAGGTTGTCCTCTTAATAGATTCCGCTCAGCACAGGGTGTGAAATGACTTCAGAGTCCCCTCCAGGGGCACAGATAGGCCTGCATGCTTCATCACAGGCTATTACACACTCAAATTCACTGAGCTGAAAATCTGTGGGCAATATATATAACTTCATAACATCCATGAAGCTCCTCAATCTGCCCGGAATTATTACCCTGTAATCCTGAACGTATTTGCTGGCAGAAAAGAAGGATTTGGTATGAAATCCTTTTCTTCTGTGTTGTTTCTACCGCTGCCAGGGATCCACAGAAGAGAGGCTGAACCAGAGACGTTCGGTTTCATGCCATGCAATTTTGCAGTGTAAATCAACTGAGTAGGCTGAATCACAATGGAAATAGCAACAGGGATTCTCCTTGGGCAGATGAGAGCAAGATCCTTAGCTAGGAGTAGATTCTTTTAAGCATCACTGAAATGGCTAAGAGTAACAGTCTTTATTAGGGTTGATTTTTATTAGCAAGGAGTAAATTACAAGTTCTTCGGAATGACCCAAATACCTCTGGTTTCTGTATCTTCTCAGCACTTGGAAGCATTAATACCTTGTTGCTTCCATCAACGGAGAAGAAAGGCACTGCCACTTGGCTGCAGCCTTCCTGGAGCTGTGCATCTTTCCACACTGGCTATCTCAGCAAAGAGCCTCCTTGCTCAGCACGTTAAGGAAGCTGCTAAAGTTACATGGGATGAATCCAGGCCTAGGTTCTGCTAAGCAGCTTCCCACAGGACGATCACGTTCAATGGGCAAATAGTCTTGAATAGGACTCACAGCATTTTTTTCCACTCATTTTTTTTCTGTAGCAATTGTTTCTTCCCAAGAATAGAAATTCCTTTCAAGTGTAGATTTTGATTAAAGCATATTTATGAATGATAATGGTCTGATAATGGTTTGAATATATTTCAAAATATGTTTCTATTTTTTCATGAAATATATGCTTACATTCATTGAAGTTAGTATCTGTTTTCCATTTTAGACATTTTAAAATAGATTATACTTACATTGTCCATAATCCCTCTTCCTCCTCACAAAATTTGCTTTGGGGAAAAAGAAGTAACAAAACTTGTGCTCATTGTGGCTGTGGAACACAAAACTGTGCAACTATGCAATTTCCTAAAAGCCATACCAGAAAGCTGCCAACCTCTTTCCTGCTGCTCGTGCTTTTGGAAACATATTTCATGCAGTTCAATAGACTTCCCTCAATTTGTTCAGATGATATTGTCATCTAATGAATTCTTGAACAAACTCTTATGCCAACCACGGCGAACCAGCTGAAGATGGAGGCTTCTTTTAGCTGACTATAATGTAAAGAGACCCCTTCTTTTTAAAATAATATTCCTTCAGATAATAAATCTAGAGTGACCTTAACCGGGATTTTTTCTGTCTGTTCAAGAACATAGTCTTCATTCTTAGTTAACAAGGTGATTTAGTGTGTTCTTCAGCTGCCCAGCAACAGATTATTTCATTTATGCCTTCCATTTATTCTTCCAACATTGCTGATCCAGGTAATAAAGAATAAAGTTCACAGCTATTATCTCTGGTTAATCTGTCATAATTGTCTACATCTCAAATTAGGGATATTATGCTGAATTGCAGTTTAGACTCACTGCTTTGCTGTGAGCATCACACAAGCTCAAAAAAAAAAAAAAAAAAAAAAAAAAAAGACCTTGCCTGACACAAAAGCCATTCTAAATTCCAAACTACTAAAAATATCTCATTTAGAATTACTAGGCAGATGCAGACAATGATCCTTGTCCTGTGTTACTGTGGTTTTCCACAACACACTGACAACAATGCTTTCAGAAGATATACTCCCTTGTAGTTGGAAGAACGCTATGAATGACAGAAGTTGCCATCAGAGGCTGAGTCTGCATACAGGCACTGGTGTTGTGTTCTGTCTGTCCTTCATTATCCACCTAAATCACGTTCTGCTCCACTTGACCACTGTCCACTGAAATTTGTTTTGTTCCAAAGGATGTTCCAAAGACCTTGTTTTTAACGTAGAAGCAATGAAACCTTAACAGAAGGAAAACAATCAGGTTAGTAGGTTTAGATCAAGACTGAAGAGAACCAGGGCTGCTATTCCCACATCATTACATTACAGACGCAGATGATATCAGAACTGAATGGCAATCTTACAGCGTTACAGCATGGCTGAGGTTGGAGGCAACTTGGGGTCCCTCTGCCCCAGCACTGTCCCAGCAGAGCCTTGCAGAGCAGGGCCCAGCCCCACAGACAGGCGGCTTTGGGAGAGCTCTAAGGAGGAGAACCACAGCCTCTGGGCAGCCTGTGCCAGGGCTCCAGCACAGCACAGCACAGCAGTGCTGCCTGACGGGCAGAGGGAACTGCTGTGCTCCGGGTTGTGCCCACTGCCTCTGCTCCTGGCACTGGGCAGCGCTGCAAGGAGCCTGGCTGTGTCCTCTTTGCACCTCCCTGTGGTATTTATGGACATGGATGAGATCCCTCAGACTTCTCCTGCTGAACAGCCCCAGCTCTCTCAGCCTCTCCTCACAGGAGAGGTGCTCCAATCCCCTCAGCAGCTCTGTGGGTCCTTAGCTGTACTCTCTCCAGTAGCCCTATATTTTTCAACATTCTTTTTCTGACAATCACAGAACACAAGAGTAGGCACTGATGATACCAAGAGCACAAAGAAATAAAAGTTAAAAAACAGAGAAAGAAGAGAGAACCACCAAGCTGAAGCAATGTTATCAGGTAAGGCCATATAATTTCTTGGTCTACATTGTTAAGAAACTGAAGAGCAAACAAAACATTTTGCTTTAAAAATGACCTCCAGTGCCTGCCATGGAGTATCTACTGGAAGGTGACACTTTTCTGTTCTTGTGATTGGTTTTGTGCCCTGGGAAATGTAAAAATATCACCAAGGTATGCATAAGAGAGAAGTTAATTAGTTTAACTTCCCAATGGGAATACATTAACAGCGTAATAAGATGCTCAAAGACTATTTTTATGATTGTACCTGCCAAAGGAGTTGCTGGAAAGATTTCCTTTTTTAATGCAAAAACTTTTAGCCTCCATATGGAGATCCAGATGCTGAGTCTCATCTTTTTGCAGCTGAGGTTGGTGCAAACACCCAGCCTCCACATCTCCGCAGGATGCATCTCCAAGACTGCTCCTGGAAGGATCCTGTGTCAGGATCAATATCTACAAACAACTTTCAGCTTAATTCCTCTATTAGGCCAAAAAGGAAACATTTCTCAGCAATACACAATGCCTTATGAGGAAGAAAAAATAACATCTTTTTAACTGCCACTCAGTGCTTCTGTTTTTTAAACTGTCTTATGGCCAAGTTCAAATGCCATTTGTCCTGCACAGTCATTGCCCAAAGTGGACAACATAATTAATCATCTATCCTTATGCGCTTGTGACTTAAAATGACTTTTAGCTAAATACTCTTACCCTAGCTCTCCTCTTGATTAATCCTGAACCATGTAAGCATGAATTTTATTACTGGCTCTCTCCTTTTGTCAGCTGGAATGTCACGCTGGAATATAATGAAAATAAAATCATAGTATGTTCATTTCCCCACTGCTCTAAAAAAAATGCAATTTATTTCCTTTTTGAAATAC